CGTCGGCTCTGACTCTGTATTGTCTGACATTTCGCTTGATTTCAATCGACACTTAATTTCATAATCAATTTAATCGCCAATTATTGTCGCAATCAGTCGTCTCTCACACCTATGCGTCAAATGAACCGACAGTTAGTGTCAACACTTTGTAACTATTTATTTATATATCAATCAAATCATAACATAATTTTCTATGGTTTTATCGGCAAATATGAACTGATTTAGCACTACATTCATCGAAACAAACCAATCATTAAATGCAAACAAAGTGTTTAAATTGGATGCGAAAGTGATTATTAGTCGTGATTTGAAACCGAAAATCAATTCATTGACCAAAAAAGCGGGCATTGAATGAAAGGAAAGACTAATTACTACGAAATGACAGTCAAGTGACGGTTTGCCTGAACTGTAATTATAGTTAATATAGTTATCGTGATTATAGTAATAATAATAATAGTTATACGAAGGGGTTGTCATAGTGTGTCACTACAGGCACTGGTAGTCATACAGCCATACATTGGGTGCCATTGAATGGCGAAGGCGTCAACACATTCACTGCACGACTACTTATGAACGGATAGCCGACACAATTGATTGCAAATGAGAGCATACCTTATATTGGAGACAATTATGCAAACACTGGTCACATATACACGCGAATCAAGTGAATGTCATTAATTGAAACGATATATCATTTGTATATTAGTTGTCAAGTATTGGCGAAACACTCAGCAATGCAATCACCACTGAATCGCCATATTTTCAACGCTATTCACGAATACTACAGACAAACAAAGAATTGTATCGATATTTACACCGATTGTCGATTGCACTCACTTTACGCACTGTAGATGGCACTCATTGTACCGACACATACACAACATATACACAACATATACACAACATATACACAACATATACACAACACATACACAACAACTCCCACACAGTCCTCACAAATCAATTGCATTACACTTACTGTTAATGATTACGTTAACTGTCATTAGCTTATGATTCACTGCAATCAGTCAGTGTCCACATCACCAACACATCCATTCATACGGTGACCACTGGTGCCCATTCACACCACCCCTACCCCACCCCCACCCCATCAGTGGACCAGTTGATGAAACAAAGCATTTCATCACTCGTTTGACTCATTTGTTGACAGTTTGTGACACAAGTGAGTGAAGGGTTGCCGTGAAGTGATGGCCATTGGACTGACTACTGGTCAACACCAGACACGTGTCCACTCACCCACACAACCAAACGCGTGCCAAACAGTCGGTGACAATCAATTGGTGTCCACAATGACCATCAGTTCGGAGCCATCGCTGGTGGAGACGGAAGCGGTCGCCAGAGAACTGTTCACTCAGTTTACAAGAGAACAGTTGACTCACGAGGGGATCAGCCCTTCAGAGTTTGACCAACAGATCCAGGAGTTGAGGTCTAAATTGTTTGGATATTTGGTTAGTTTTGTGCACTAATTGTCTGTATTTTGTGACAACAGTTCCAACGGATATAACATATCGAGTCCTCTAATGGTTTCTGTGGGAAGAGATCTGAGAAGAATATCCGAAGCATTCGCTCGAAGCACAGAAAGGGCTGAAGTGAGGGAACGGGCCTTTCGGGTGACTATTATTTTCATACTTTAGTGTTGCATATAATTTGCTAATATTATAAGAGTTGCGTTCAAAGTTGTATTAAATGATGGATTTATGTGTCGATTATATCATAGATTAACTTCAGAGACCTGACGCGAGAAGAGTTTAATTCTCTATTGAGTGAACTCTTTCTCAACGGAAACATAAGTCGCGAGCGAATCGTTGTTCTCTTCTTCTTCTGCTCTGATCTGGCGGTCAATGCCTTCACCAACGGTTCCATCGCTTACTTCAAACGACTCATCCAATGGTCATTGAGTTATATATTTAATCATATTTGCCTTTGGGTTCAGAGACAAGGCGGATGGGTATGCCATCAAAATGATCACTTGTTTTGCGCTCAACTCTAATTGAGATTTATTGATTACGAATATAGGAGATAGTATTGGGTTCTTATGTGCCCCGACTGGCCATCACTGTGTTTGCTCTCATGGGTTGTCTAGCGTTTGGCATTTATATAAAACGATCTCTTTTTTAATTAATTTTTTTTATTGTTTTGTAACAAACTATTATGATCTCTAAGTACAGTATAAGCAAATTATTGCCGTATTTATTTTTATTTGCTGTCCGTATTATATACAGTAAATTGAATTGTATTGCAATTTATTCTCATTTTATATTCATATTTTAATTAATTTATATACTCACTTTTATACTATATACATTTATATAATTTTACATTTACAGTATATCAATCAGTTGTAAATATTTAATAAATAACTTAATTTAATGTTTTACGATATAATACATTTTATTGTACGGTATATATTTAATAATTACCGTAATGTTATAGATTATTAATGCGGAGTCGTGGCAAAGTAAGTGAACAGTAAAAGTCACTCCAATCAATCATGTTACTCTAATTTGTAAATATTTATTTTAATAAATTTATAGCATCCTACAACTTTTCAAAGTAAAGTAATTACAAAATTAGTAAAACTTTGTTCATGTCCCTGTTGAGAAATTGGAAATTACCTATAAAATTAATTTTAACATTTTTACCTGGCTAGTTTTTATTCCAAATTGTAGTGCCGATACATCCGATGCATTAAATAACAAAACTTGAATGATGAGGTACAGTATGTCACCTTGAAAATAGAATCAATTTTATATGACCGGTATTTTAGTATATTCTGTTGGGTTACGAATGAATGCATTAAATTAATAATAAATATAGATGATAGATTTACAAGTTTTCATGTTTTACCGTATTATTTAATCATGTTAATTTTTTCGATTGTGCACAATATCACAGAATATTCTACAACTAATAATTTGTTATATTGAGTTTATTAAGTAGTAATTTTTGTTTAACTCTGAACGTTAAAAGTATTGAATTGCAAAACAGAGAATTAATGATATTTTATTTATTTGTTTTAAATAATATCTAAATTATAATATAAAATTATAACATTTTTACATTCTACATGCCATGGTATTCTACATGATGGTAACTCAAGTGCTATTTTGGGGTTTTACATAAACTATAAGAATTTTTTTGTACGGTACAAATATTTTCTAGAGTTTTATTAAAACACCAAACCAATTATTAAAACATTTTAAAAGTTCAAATTTATTATTTTTACAGTTATAAGTTATCACACTTTAAAAATTTTCATGTAAAAAATATTTGTACCTTTACAATTCTACCAATTACACAACATTTACAGTAATGGACCAGGGACTTTAAATAACGCGTGTCATTTTTACTTTCATTATTAAAAGTTCTTGAAATACCTTAATATAATATGTTTTATTGTAAATTTTTTTTGAGTAGCATAAAATATAGTTTAATAATAGAAATAAATTACATTGTCCTATTTGACTAGAATACTGTATCTGATTTAATTTGCACTCGTATAACATTAAGTTAACAGTATTTTTGCGAATAATTAAAAACGATATACAATATTCTGTATAATATATTATATTTTTGTATCAGTTGACCTGATATTTCTGTTATAAAATAATATTTTATTCATTTATATTCAAAGTATATTCATAATTATACTCAAAACCATTATAATTATCATTAATGTTTTATTGTAAATTTTTTTTGAGTAGCATAAAATATAGTTTAATAATAGAAATAAATTACATTGTCCTATTTGACTAGAATACTGTATCTGATTTAATTTGCACTCGTATAACATTAAGTTAACTGTATTTTTGCGAATAATTAAAAACGATATACAATATTCTGTACGAATTGAATATTCTGTATAATATATTATATTTTTGTATCAGTTGACCTGATATTTCTGTTATAAAATAATATTTTATTCATTTATATTCAAAGTATATTCATAATTATACTCAAAACCATTATAATTATCATTAATGGTAACAAANATAATTAAAAACGATATACAATATTCTGTATAATATATTATATTTTTGTATCAGTTGACCTGATATTTCTGTTATAAAATAATATTTTATTCATTTATATTCAAAGTATATTCATAATTATACTCAAAACCATTATAATTATCATTAATGGTAACAAAATTGTAATTAACTGACGAATAAATTATTAAAATGAACAAAACATTTGTGAGAAAAAAAACCCTTAATTATTAGCCTTAATTTAATTTGAAAAATCAATTGCTCATAAAGATTTCACTGTAAATTGATATTACATTAAATCATTAGAATGGAAATCAATGATTGTCCCATAAATACTCGACCTTAACATTGGTTGAGCGCATACACGATATAAAGAATATTCTGGGCAAACAATTATATATATGATTATTATATGTAAATCAGTTTCTGTGGAGACGATTGGAAAATCGAAAATGCATTTCAACTCAAATATTATACGTTTTGCATTCATATTAGAGTTGATATATTTTGGGTTTTATTGATAAATTATATAAATTTATAATAAACTTGACATAACTCTATAAATTCTGTATATTATACTGTATACAATATACTGCAAATACAGTATGCTATATTAATATCTGTCAATCAAATCTTTGAATTGTTTTGAAGTAGAAACGTATCGAAAGTAATACCAACATTGAAGTGAATTTAATTATATTTTAATTCAACTTCTAATCCGATCCAAGTGTGTGCTAATTTTTAAAATTTGAAATAAAATATATTATACAATATATTTTTAATAAAGTCATATTATATAAAGTATGTGAACATTGAAAGCATTAACATCTCTGAGACAATCAATCAAACGGTATATAAAATCGATAATATTTTTGTTTGCCATCAATCACTCGACCAAACGTTTAAAAAAGTGTTTTATTATTAAATTATTTAATCGTCAATTTGTTGACAACATATTCATTGATGGATAAAACAGAGAGACCCCGAACCAAAAGACTTGAGCGCCCGACTCCTAATGTAATTCATCCTATTATTGGTGATAAGAATTATAAAGAACACGATTCTGGGATTAAGGAATGTATTGAAAGGATAAGCAAATGCCAAACTTCTCCATCAAAATCGCTGAACACTAAGTCATATAAAATGAAGAGCAATCATATTTCAACTTCAGGTGCTCACTACAAAACAAATGACCACAAACTCAATGGTCAACATTTGTTAACTACTAATAAAGTCTCACAAAATTTTGCTTTAGCTTTACTTTTACTTTAATTTCAGTAATTTCTTCTTCGTTTTCTGTATGTTTATAGACTATTTTTGTTTTTTGGTTTCTTACCAAGGTTACTTAGTAGCTAAGGATTCTCGTTCAATAATTGCCACTCCAATAGTCAAACTGTAAGCAATCAGGTATCATAAGTTTTATTATAATTCAGTTCAAATCTAACAATAACTGTAATTACTATCACAGAGTTGTGATGCATTAGAGTTTTGTATTGTCAATATTCTGTTGTTAGGGTTTAGAGTTGAAGAATAATTTATAGACAAATTTCATATAAGAAAATAATGAGTATTTTAATTTATACAACTCTATGTAGAGTTTATTTGAACTTCATATTTAATTTATTTTATTTAATTGTGTTAATAAATGTCTATTGAACACTTCTTTTATTATTTTCTTTCCTACTTAACAGTCTTCTCCCAATGCTATACCTCCCGACCGTCGTGAAATTCAGTGTTGACTAGGGGACAAGCGTGACAATGGCGTCTTTCTTCCCGCACAGACTGGCCGTCCACGAGAAGAGTTGCAGAGGTCTTGGAATCGGAGGACAAATGGTTACAAAACCAAAGACTGAATATAAAGCCAATGTGCGGACAAACCACACATTTCTCGAGTGCAACACTTGTGGCCGTCGATACAGCACTAGCTCTTTGACTTTGCATGAAATCAATTGTCGATTAAACTCAAGAGGTATCAACATTAACAACAAGAGATTGAGTATAGGTTTGGATGGCAATTAATTTTAATTCAATTAATTCAAGGCGTTTGATGAAAGAATTGTATTAATTGTTTCAAATGTCATAATTATGACCGGTATATAGGAAATGGAGAAAAAGGGAGTGAAATGATGAGCGCATTGGAACACTTCAAGAGTCAATTAGTATCGTGTAGCAAATGTAACCGCAAGTTTCTGTCCGACCGATTATTAAAACACGAACCCAACTGCAAATTAAATCCTATTATCATTACAACCAACACAAACGCCAAATAATATTTTAAAAACTCTTTATTCAATAAAAATATTAATAATTAAAAATAAGTCTTAAGTTTATTGGATTCCAAATTCATTTCCTCATCAGATCTAAGTCTGAATCTGGATTTGTGTTCACTTTTGTCATGTTTTTGAAGCTCACTATAGATCTGATCGATATTTCCGCCAAAATCAGTCGGTTTGCGCGGCAACATATGCACGTGTAGGTGCTCTACAGACTGTCCCGCATCCACACCGTCCTGTATGGCAACAGTCGACGCTTTTGCACCAAATTCCGTTTCGATAGCCTTCTGAACCTTTTGCACCAAACAAAACAAATCTGTTATCTCTTCGCGACTAAGATCTTGAAGTCTTTTGGCGTCTCTGATCGGAGCGACCAATACATGACCGGCCAGTACTGGTCTGTGGTTGACAAACGCTATGGAGTGATCTGTCCTACAAAACACTTGACTTGATTTAACAACAGCTGNTCTTCGCGACTAAGATCTTGAAGTCTTTTGGCGTCTCTGATCGGAGCGACCAATACATGACCGGCCAGTACTGGTCTGTGGTTGACAAACGCTATGGAGTGATCTGTCCTACAAAACACTTGACTTGATTTAACAACAGCTGTCGGTCCAAATGCGAACGACTCCTCGCTATTACTGTCTGTTTTATGAACCAAATCAATGGCGGGAATGACATTCCCATAGAGATTGGGTCTTCTGTCGCTCCAAACGGGAAGCTTTTGTCTCACACTTTGCAAGAAATCCAAATCAATTTGTGCGACACAGAGCCCAACGCCATCACTGCACTGGCCAATGATGGCGCCCCACGGGTCCACCACCTAATCAGTTGTTTAAAATATAATATAAATTGATATTTCGTGAGTTAATCATATTTAGTGCAAACCATTGCGTGTCCATAAGACGAGCGTTTCTTATTGTGGGCTCCGGTCTGAGCGGCGGCCACGACATAGCACTGCGTCTCTATAGCCCGGGCGCGAAGAAGTGACTCCCAGTGCGCTGAGCCAAAATTCTTATAGTTTATGTAAAACCCCAAAATAGCACTTGAGTTACCATCATGTAGAATACCATGGCATGTAGAATGTAAAAATGTTATAATTTTATATTATAATTTAGATATTATTTAAAACAAATGAATAAAATATCATTAATTCACTGTTTTGCAATTCAATACTTTTAACATTCAGAGTTAAACAAAAATTACTACTTAATAGCCTCAATATAACAAATTATTAGTTGTAGAATATTCTGTGATATTGTGCACAATCGAAAAAATTAACATCATTAAATAATACGGTAAAACATTAAAACTTGTAAATCTATCATCTATATTTATTATTAATTTAATGCATTCATTCGTAACCCAACAGAATATACTAAAATACCGGTCATATAAAATTGATTCTATTTTCAATGTGACATACTGTACCTCATCATTCAAGTTTTGTTATTTAATGCATCGGATGTATCGGCACTACAATTTGGAATAAAAACTATCCAGGTAAAAATGTTAAATTTATAGGTAATTTCCAATTTCTCAACAGCGATATGAAAACTTTGAACAAAGTTTTACTATTTTTGTAATTACTTTACTTTAAAAAGTTGTAGGATGCTATAGATTTATTAAAATAAATATTTACAAATTAGAGTAACATGATTGATTGGAGTGACTTTTACTGTTCACTTACTTTGCCACGACTCCGCATTAATAATCTATAACATTACGGTAATTATTAAATATATAC